TTCATTAATTAATTTAATAATACGTTATGATTATAAGGTTATAATATTGCTTGGTATTGTAATTATATCATTGCCCAAATGAAATAGTCAAATGTTGAGATGAAATAGTTGACCCATAAATCTTAATTGTCCAATGGTGGGAGGGACATAATCTTCAATGACCAGAGCTACAGGTTTAGTTTCCTTTTAGCCACATGAAAGCCTTCTCACAAGGATTTCTTCTATATCTTTTCTTTATTAATAAATTTCTTTATTAATAAAAAATGTATAGTTGAGAATAGGGTCCCTCGCTAAATTAAATTTTTTGCCTATGAATAAATTTATCTTTTGTCTAAATGAATTCTATTGAAATGCAACTTAACTATTAAATCTCAAGCTCAAATTTGACTACAATATTCATATAGGTATTAGATTATTTGATTTTTTTGTTTTCACATAGTTTACTAATGTAATACCTCTAGCATATTGACTCATTCTAATTGCTCATATAACTCTTATGGTTTTCCACTACTAAAATTAGGGCCTTTTTGGTCAAGCTACTTGACCAAAAAAAGCCAATTTTTTGATTGAATCAAATGTACTTCGGTCAATATCACTAATTGAAACATTGGACCGAATATCCACTATACGAAATAGAATTTCAGAGAAAATTTCATCTTAACCGAAATAAATATTTAATTCGGTTAGTATCACTGATAAAAGAAGTGTTGAATAAATCATTAAACAATTCTTATATTTGGACAAATAATTTAACTGAACTAATAAAACATTATTTTAATCATATATTTCGGGTAGTAAAACTAACCGAAATCACAAGGAATGAACAATTCAAGAACCAAGATATTTCAGTCATTTTACATGACCAAATTTAAGGTAAGGGATATTTTTGGTATTTTGAACAATATATTTCGGTTAAGAATATTGACCCAAATGTTTGTCTAGATTAGAAAAAAAAATAAATTATTTAATGAATTGTAATCTACATAATAAATATCACAATAAGATTTAATATTAAAAATTTTGATATTAATATAATGAATTATATACAATTCTTTTTTATTTAATTTTTGGACCTTTTAACTATTATTACAATTATTTATTAATAAATATGATTAAATTTTCATG